AGCTATTAATGAAATAAACCCTGTCATTGAAGATACTGGGGGAGGGGGGAGCGCAGGGGAATGATACTCTATAAAGAAGGAGATTATAACCCAGAATTCCTACTTGCGAAGGGGACAGTGAGGTCCCCGTGATGTAATACAGATGTGAGGTGGAAATGATCGGAATGCTGTTTCTTTATTACTTCCCAAAACAGCTGCGCCACTGGAAAGGTCGTGGGTGGACGATTAATCAGATGCTTTATCCCTCCGTCATTGCTCAAATGGTGGGAAGTCAATTTAGTCTCCTGTCTGCACTGTAAGGACCGCTTGGCAGTCTACCTGTCAGTGTTTGCTCCTCTTCGATAATGAATGCCTACCATGTTCCAGTCCCAGTTTATGTTCACAAGATTTTATTCTCAGCAAAAAGAAAACAAGAATCAGATGTCGGAAAAGGATGGCAGCTCACCCCCCCCTCCCCCACATGATGGGACTGTGTGTAGAGAGCCCGTTAGACCCGGTAGCAAAATGTAATCCACAGTTTACAGTAGCTGCCGGCATCTGCATCTGCTCACCTTTTGCAGCTTTATTTTAACATCATCCTATGTTTTTCTCTGCCATCTCCCCAGGCCATCTTACATTAGATATTTATTCATGAGAACAGAAGTCTTAGTTCCAGTGGGAAGACACAGCTATCAATTCCAGTGCCTTGAGTGTGTTTATCCCGAGGTTTGGTTTTTCCTGTTTGTTGTACTAGTACAAAATGATGGCTTAGTGGTACCTACTGAATGCTCTACTTTGTTCTCTGAAGAATCAATTCCTTTGAGCTGTGGAGCTGGAGAAGTGTATTGAATATACCATGGACTGCTAAGAGAACATACAGGTCTGTCCGGGAGAGGGTGAAACCAGGCTGCTGCTTGGAGGCAAAGATTTTCTGTCTGACATACATTGGGCATGTTGCCAGGAGGGACCAGTCCTTGGAGAGGGACATCATGCTTGGAAGGGTAGAAGGTCAGCACAAGAGAGGAAGACCCCAGATTAGATGGATTGACTCAGTAACTGGGGTAATGGGTGTAGGGGTGTCAGAGACAATGAAATTGGCTCAAGACAGAGCAGGGTTCAGAGCTGTTGATCACCGGGGAGGGTGGGGTTGCCCAGGGAGGGTGTGGATGGTGAATCTTTTGGTTCTAAAGTTTCTGGCTGTATCTCATCTTGTCTTGTTTCTAGTATATAACTGATGTTAGTTTTACAAGAACTAGAGGTAGTGAAAACTTTAGAGGAATGAAGTGTCATTAGGTCTTCAACAGTGTTCAGCCAGGATGGAAAATTTAGTCTGTTTTGCATGAAAATCACCAAATTGTATCCAGTGTCTCACACTTTTAGACGCTTTTAATCTTCAAATACAGGGGTTTCTCCAGGCTGGCAAATGTTCACTCACCTGCTGGAAGAGCTTAGTGAAATAGTACATTCCGTTATTAGGGTTTGGAGCTCAGATCAGCTTCACTGAGTAGCCATTCTGAGATCCTGTGGTGCCCTTGGGATTCTGTAAGAACCAAGTCACGTTTTATTCCTCCTGATGGCCTTCCAGCTTCTGGTAAAGTAGCACTCATGTCACTTGGACTTTGCTCATCCAAGCCGGAAACCCCAGGCTTTATCCCTGCTCCTCTGTTTGGTCTGGGTTCCATTCTGTGCCTGGTCACCCTGCCCAGATGTCCCCTCCAAAAGCCCTATTTTGAAAAAGACAGAGGAGGGGGAAAAGAGAGAACTTTCTCGCCCCCCCCCTTTTAAGAGAGAACATTTTTGTTGAAGAATTGGCTTTAAATGGAAAAGGCTGATTTTAAAAATCCAGGGAGGAAGGTAATTTTGTTTGAAGGACACAGAATAGCAGGTGAAGCAATTTGAAAAGCTCTTGGGAAAAGGGCTTCTACTGAAACTCAATCAGGCTTCTTGCCTGGCCTGCACATGCATTCCAGTCCAGGGTCACCTTGAGCCCCTGCCTCCATGCTGGGGGTAGGCTCAGGAAATTATAGGCCCAAGAGGTAACTTGGTGGTGGCTGGGTGCAGTGGATCTGGCTCTTAGTCATAATGACCGTACGTGCTTCAGGACAGCAGGCCCTGTGTGAGCCTGTCGGATTTCAGGGGTGTGAGGAGCAGGTGAGTAAATAGCCAGGCAGGGATCAGACCTCCCTCTTGTTACGTACCATGGAGTCAGCTACGACTATGGCCGTCCTGTGACCAACACATCCGAACCTTGCCCTTTCTGGCACCATCCTCGTGAGCTCCGATGTCAAGGATGTGATCCAGTCACTGTGTAAATCCATCTTGTTGAGTCTTCTCTTTCTCTGACTTTCACCTTTCACAGCATGAAGCCTTTTTTTTTTTCAAAGACTGGTCTCTCCTGACAACATGGCCAAAGTATGTGAGACCAAGTTTCAGCATCTTTGTCTCTAACAACCAACCTAGTTGCATGTTCTTCCAAGACAAACATTTTGTTCTTTTGGCAGTCCATGAGACAGTCTGTATTCGTCACCAATGCTACACATTTCTAGGTTATAATGTTTTCATTTTGTCCTAAGAACAATCAGCTTTCACTCTGGGTATATTACAGCGATTAGACTGGAAACCTCTTTTAATAAGTCATTTTTCATGAACTTGAATGTTGTTGTTGTTGTTAGGTGCTGTCGAGTTGCCTGTGACTCATAACAACCATATAAACCCTGCTCTATCCTGTGCCAACCTGATTGTCTCTGACACACCCACCCTCATTACCCAGTCACTGAATCAGTCCATCTCATCCAGGGTCTTCCTCTTGCACTGTCCCTCCACTCTCCCAAGCATGACGTCCCTCTCCAAGGACTGGTCCCTCCTTGCAACATGTCGAAACTATGTCAGATGAGGCTTCAGAATCCTTGCCTCCAAGGAGCAGCCTGGCTTCACCCTCTCCAGGACAAACCTGTCTGTTTTCCTAGAAGTCCATGGGATATTGAGTTCTCTTTTCCAACACTCAAAAGCTCAAAGACATCAATTCTAACCTCTTCCGTTTTGCTAACCCTTAACTCAGATTTAGGGAACTCTGGTGATGTAATCCACAGTGTACGGCTAACCAGCAGCTCCTCTAGAGAAGGATGGGCAGTCTGCTCCCATTAGAATGTACACCGCGGAAACCCTGTGGGCATTGCTGTGAGTCAGCACCCAACTGGACAGCAGGGAATTTGAGTTAACTCAAACTTAGCTTCCCCTTCTTCCTTCATACATGAAGGTAGCCAGCTGCACTTACGTGAGCTTTGTTACCCTTAGAAATCAGATGTCTCCTCACTCTACAGTTGCTACAGACATCTCAATGCCATTTATTCTCACTTCTTTGAAATTCTAGTGGTTAGGCAGGCTTGTTACTCTTTTTTTCTTTTCTTTTTCATTTCTATTCATTCGTTGTTGCACTTTTCTCCCTGCCCACCCCTCCCACCCCCCAATTTGTTCTTCTCTTTGAAAAGTAAAAGAAAAATTCTTTCATTGTTATACAATTCCTCCCACCAGGTGTACTCCACTGTGCAGCCTTCGTTCTGGACTCCTGTCATGACAATAATTCCTAATCATGTATCTCTTTTAAACAATTCTCTTCCTCATCTGTTTCAATGAAGTATACATAATTTATCCCATCTTTCTCAGTCTTCCTCCAACCCCGATATCAGTCTTATTTTACAACACTGGCACTATGCAGTATTTGTCCCTTTGTCATGGAGATATTTCACTCCTTCTACTCTTCTTATTAGGTGATGTTGAGTTGCAACTGACACACAGTGGGTTTCCAGAGGCTGTAAATTGCACAGGAGGAGATTGTCCATCTTTCTCCTGCACAGCAGTGGGTAGATTCAAACCATCTGCCTTTTGGTTGATAGTGCAACTTCTTACCTATTAGGCCACCAGATCTTGTTATTCATTGCCAGGGAAAGCATATGTAATGTACAGTGAAACCTGTGAGAACTGGAGTTGAACAGGACTGCCTTGTTTTCCCAGGTCTTCCATCTTTTCTGCCTTCCACAGGATGCAGACTTCCCACTTTTCTGTGGCTACTTTTAAATAGAGAATATTTGCATTTCCTCCTTGGACAGGTCCCCACCTTACATACATCCAGCTTTTGCAGATTTTGGTGTGTATATAAATATGTCTTTTAAAATGTTGGGACTTTTTTTTTAAAGTATCATCTCTTTCCTTTGTGACTGTATGTGTTCTATTCCTTTTCTAACATTAATCTTGGGAGATATATTCCTAGACACAGAAAAGCTGTGAAGAATGCCTAAGAAATACACTTGGGGATAAATGACAAAATGAGTAGATATTCTTTTCCTGGTAGGATAGTGAACCAAATAGCCTGTGTGACTCTCCCAACGGGAGCAAAGGTGAATACGATTTATAAAATATGTTGACTGTCTGCATAAAAAAGGAAGAGATCTGCAGTTCCAAATAAAGGGAGCATCAACAATTGCCTCAGGGCTGTGGCTGAAAATTATAATTTTCCCAAACTACTTTTAGTAACTTTATATGACTTTTATTGAATAATTTTATCTTGCAAAAAGTACGTGCTGAATTTTAGCAATCTGAAAACCCTTACTCAGTACCATAGTTTGCCTGGAGTGTTGAGAAAGATGTGGGGAGTGGGGTAGAGTTAACTTGAAGTAACAACAGAGAAAGGGCTTTAGGAAGAGACCTCAACTTTAGAAACATTAGGGGCATGCAAACTATGGCCAGCTTAACCAACCCTCTACCCTAGTGAATCTGCAGAGATTTTTTAACAAAATGCTTTTATTCCTAGTTTGTTTTTTTTTTAATGAAATGCATTGTTAGGCTGCCTGTATGAAATATGAAAAGGCATGTACATTCTTTAACTTTTTTTTCCCCACATAAGAGTCTACAGAAGTAGATAGGAAAGATCAGCTGCAATAAAGCAAAACAGAAACCAGTTTGAGAGGATGGGATACATAAAGAAAATCAGTTCTGGTCTCTGTGTTCTGTGCCGTAGGTGAAGGTTAGTAATCATCATAGTTGACGCTGGCTCCGTGCCTGAAGCTGTAAGGGTTACGGGGACCAATTGCTGCGTCTTCATCATAGTGACGGTGGTAGTACTCTCCGTAATAGTCGTGCCCGTTTCGGTTTCTGTTTTGCCAGTAGCTAACATCATCTTCAAATTTCTGTAAGGAAAGAGCATGGGTCAGGACACACACTCCGACAAGACCACATCTTACCTACAAGTTTCTCTGAGATAATTTTTTCTTTAATGATTGACAACTCTTACTAAGAATAACTCCTTGTGGTGGTAATTCTGTACACAGACGTCAGTACGACCCAGATAGAATGAATTTTTATAAAAGCTCTTTTTTTGTCCCAAAAGAATCATGTCCTTACCTTTGAAAATTGTCATACCAGTTCTCAATATGCTCTAGACTTAAACGTGTTTTTATTTTCCTTTTTGGCAAATAATACTGATATTTTTCATTTAATGAATACTTTAGCAAGTTGGCCCGAGTCATGAGCCCTGCCAACACCTTATCGTAGCCAAAGCACCTTGCTGTTCCATCTCTGCGTGCGTCACAGTGTAATCTCAACTCATGGCTGTTGGATTGATTGCGACTCACTGTGATCCTGCATCAGGTTTCCAAGGCTGCTAATCACAACGGGGGAGACTGCCCATCTCTCTCCTGCAAAGCTGTGAGTGAGTCTGAACCGCCAGAGGTGGGCGACATTTGGGTTAGGAGAGCAACAGGCTGCAAACTGCTCGACCAGAGCTCCCGGAATCACTTATTCGGCCCATAAAACCCAAATCCTGTGGCCAAAAAGTTGATTCTGGCTCCTGGTGACTCTCTCTGTAGGATAAAGTAGAATGGACCGACAGCTATAATCTTCACCTAAGCCAACTGTCCCACCTGCCTCCTGCCTCACAGCCTGTGGAATCCAACTATCAACCTTTCAGTTAGCAGATGGGCATTTAACCATTGCACCACCCCAAAACCAAAACCAAACCTCTGTCAGTTCTGACTCTTGGGGACCCTCCATTGAGTTTTCAAGGCTGTAAATCTTTACAGGAAGAGAACTCGTCCTTCCGTGGGGCAGCTGGTAGTTTGGAATCACTGACCAACAAGTAGCAGGCCAACACATAGCACACTGCGCTGCTCGGTTTCTTACATTACACACAAAATCAAAATTAAATTCACAGCTATTAATTCTGACTCCTGGTGACCTGTCCTCCATCAGTTTTCCAAGGCTGGAAATCTTTATGGGAGGAGATAGCCTGTCTTTATTCACTTATAGTAGGTACATAATAACTGTTAGTTGGAAAATCAGCCTCTGCATTAGCATGTTACAACTACAGGACACAGATTTTTTGTGATAACTTTTATATGTGTTGCTAAATAGCATGTGCATTTAGTCATTCCAGAAACACAAAGTGGGCACCGCATGTCAGAAGCTAGGCTAGGTGCCAGAGAGTCGCCAAAACTTAAGACACCTCCTGCCTTTGAGAAGTCTGCAGTAAGAGACCTGACAGATACAGTTAATTAAAAGGGAAGGAGAAAAACTGAAGATGAGTAAGGAATAAAGAATGACATTCAGGTTTATGGAGTGGCAACTTGTGTTTGCTGTGAACGCATTTTTAAAAGCAGAGATAAATCTTTCGGTGATGGTGAAGGTGTGCAGTGAATTTAGATTGGGATTCATACATGTGAATGCATTAACTTTTTTTAATGAATGAAGGAAAAAGGGATAAGGAGAGAGAATCCACACATGAGCCTACAAAACCAACCAGATTTGAGGCTGGCCAAAGCCCGGGCTCCTGACGGGCAGTGGACACCTGCATCCGAGTCTGTACCCCACCTGCTGTGTAGTACAGATTCCTTGACTCCACTCCACACCTCTGGCGTCACATTTTCTGATGACTGGCTCCTAGGAATCCGTCTCCTTGTTTTTAATAAGGTGAACATTCATGTGAGAATTTGGTGAGGCCAGCAGTTACTGCCTTGCATGCTGTTATTCTCAGGTGCCAGTGGCCGCCCACTTTGGATGAGAAGAACAGGAAAAGAATGGGCTAGCTTGTGCTGTGCTGATGGTTCAAATTCCTCACTTCCATTTGCTGACCTCGTGGTCTCTGTACTCATGCGAGCCCTCCCTCCATCACCTTGAAGAGAACACAGACTATCCAACCTTTCTGTTCTCACACTACATGAAAAATTATGTTTAGTAGTTTGTCATCTTATTCCTTGCCTTTTGTTATTCTGTAAGCTGCTTTGACATTGTGGCTAAAAATATGTTTCTGCCAACCTGAAGGCACTTGGTCCTAATCTATCAATGTAAAGGTACAGAGTTTGAATCCACCTGCTACTCTTCACGAGAAAGATGGGCAATCTTCTCATGTGAGATTTCCTGCCCCTGAAAGCCCACTGGAGGGTCAGCAATAGGTCACTTCTGACTCAACAGTCTATAACAACAACCACAACAGTATACAACACAACAGTATGTATCAGCAATGAATAAAGAAGGAGTACAAACTCATCTATAGGTGGTTGTTGTTGTTGAGTGTTGTCAAGTTGGCTTCTATTCATATTAACCAAACAACATACAACAGAACCAAACCCGGTGGATCCGGCACCATCTTCCCAGTCTCTGCTAAGCTCAAGTGGGGTCAGAAAGTAGGGGAAGGGGTCCTACAATTCCACTACCAAACAACCACGAGAATGATTTTTCTGCTTAAATATTTCTTCCAATCTTTCCTATGCCTTATTTTGTATTTGTTTTGCATTGTTGAAATCTTGGTATACATTTTAATAAACTATCTGGGGGGGAGAGAGAGAGAGATTGATAGGGAGAGAAAGATAGATAGATAGATAGATAGATAGATAGATAGATAGATAGATAGATAGATACACACACTTGGCAAAACTAAGGAAGTACTAGTTGCTACTTCCAGGGAGCTCTGGTGGCCCAGTGCATAAAGAGTTGTGCTGGTAACTCACAGGCAGGCAGTTTGAATCCAATGGGATGACAATGAGAGTGGGAGAGTAGTAATCAAGGAACATGGACCTAATTAGATATTCCACTGGACATACATTTACAGATGCACCACTGTTACCTATCAGTAAGTTTATGACTTGATTTTTCAATGAGATGATGCTGAAAGTGCTAGAAAATCAGTGCTCTCATGCTTCCTATGCATCTGAGAGCTGGACAATGAATAAGGATGCCAGATGAAGTCTTGATGCATTTGCTTTGTAGTGATGGAGAAGAGTACTGAATATCCTACGGCCTGCCAAAAGAATGAACTGGTGTGTGTTGGAAAAAGTGAAGCCTGAGTGTTCCTTGAAGGCAAGGATGGTAATGGTCTGTCTCTCATGCTTTGGGCATGTTGTTAGGAGAGGCTATTCCTTGGAAAGGGATATAATGCTTGGAAAAATGGAGGGTCAGCAAAAAAGAGGAAAACCCCCAAGAACACATATTGACATGGTGACTGCAGCAATGGGCTCAAATGTATCAGAGATGGTGAGGATGGCACAGGCTAGGGCAGATTTCAGATCTGTTCTTTACAGGCTAGGATTTGTATTTTATTCAAAAGCATGCAACAGCAATATGCATATGAGAATATTTTAACAAGACTCAAAACCCCTTAAGCATGTCCTTTGTTCCAGTATTCCCAGTGACAAGAATATAATTGTAAATAAAGAAGAAGCTTCACACATCAATACAAAAATAATAGCACCTATCTTTTGGGCTGTGACTGTTAAGTAAGTTGATTCACAGAATTGCTTAGAATCATGCCTGGCACAGAGTTTGGTTATATGGATTTAATTATTTGAACAAGAAAAAGAAATTATATTTGAATTAGCAAAAAATACGATGACAGGGAATGAGAAGGACATTGTAATATATCTGCATGATTTAGTTTTATACAGTCATTGAAAAGGATGTTTCTAAAGAGTGTAATCTTTTTTGCCCACTGCAGTATTTTGTATGCACTCTCCATTCCCAGAGCGAACACTGTGCCCATTTGGAAAAATGCTTCCAGCTCATCAGTCAGAGATGCTGCCCACAAAACATTCCTCTAACCCCTGGCTGAACGGGTCCAGATTTTCTGCGTCTCTGATTCTTATGCACACCTCTATTAACAAGCACTAATCCATCCTTGTCAGTCATTCTATGATTCTGTGCCACAGAACCTGTGATTTTAACTCCTGTTAGGCTAGTTTCCTGTGCCTCTGCCTTAACTTGCCCCTGGACCCCAGGTGGGAGTGTGACTAAACTCAATAAATTTGTCCATTAGAACTATGTAGGTGCATGAACGAAAAATTATCTTCCCTCAAATGCAGTGGCAAATTTCCTGTGAAAGCCTGACTTCTTTCAAAAGGCATTTCCTCTCTTTCCCTTTTCCTCATAGATCTTTGCTCTAGTGTTTCTGACCTTCTCATGGGTGAAAATGGGAGTATTTGGGGGAGAGCATGAGTTATTTTGAGGACAATGAGGTAAAATTGGGTGCTTCACATTGTTTTCTTGTTTCGGTTTTTTATCATTTCTTCCATTTTCAGTAATTTCCTGTGTAACTAACTGCAGCAATATTCATAGTTATCTTTCTTAATTGTGATTTTGACAAAGGTTTACAGAAAAGTTGGATTTTCTTTCATTCATTGTTGCATAATTTCCTCCCTTTCACCCCCTTCCCCCGTCCACTTTACTATGCACCTCTTATTCTCAACTGTTGTCATACAATTAATGCCTAATCATATATTCCCTTTAAACAGTTATTTCCTTCATCTGTTTCAATGCAATATTCATTATTTATCTCCTCTTTTCTTAGTTTCTTGCAACTCCCTGTCAGTCCTGTTTTATAACAGTAGCATTATGCAGTATTTGTCCTTTTGTGACTGACATATTTCACTCAGCATAATGTCCTCCAGGGTCACTCAGGTTATGTAATATTTTATGAGTTCCCTGGTCTTCAGTGCTGCACAGAATCCCATTGTTTGAATATACAATTTTTTTCTGTCCTTTCATTTGCTGATGAGCATTTGGTTTCCTTCCATCTCTTTGTGTGGTGAATAAAGCAGCACTAAACATGGATATGCATTTCACAGTGTTTTCAATAGCTTCATAGGGTCGCTGTGAGTCGCCTGTGACTCAAAGGCACTTAACAACAATAACATCAACATAGAGAGAGAGAGAGAGATCAGCTGGCCCAGTGGACAGAAAGCGATGCTACCAAGCCAAAGGTGGGTGACTTTTAATCTGCAGCCCTTGGGCCTATCTTTCATTGATTTTGTTCAGACATTCCTCTAGGTCGTATAGCCCTGGTGTACAAGTTGCCGTACAGCGGTCACTTGTGGTTGCTGTGAGGCTGAACACTGGGACACTGATGTGTCAAATGCATTAATGGTTGGTTAACCAGTGCGGACAGAGAGTGGGGTGGAGCTCCCCAATTAAAACAAGCTTGGAAGGAGGAGTAGCATCCACTTCTGTAATAGCTTGCCTCCGGAAACCGTACGAACCTGGAGAGAGGATGAAAGGCACCCAAGCGTCGAGGACTCTCCTTCATAGGGTCGCTATGAGTCGCCTGCAACTCGACGGCACTTAACAACAACAACAACAACAACAACAACAACAATTTTTTCAGCAGCAGCCAGGCCTTTCTTCCAAGGTAGCTCCAGGAGGCTTCAAACCCCCAGCCTTTCAGGTTAGCAGATGAGCATGTTAACCCTTTGTACCACCCAGGGACTCCTGAGTAAACCCAGGTCCAAGTCATTTTGGCCTGTGCCCCCTCTGCAATTTTGCCCTCCAGACATGTCCTCACTGGAGAGCTCTGATCAGAGCTGAGTGTGATGGAGAAAAATCTCTGCTGACATCCTTCCAGTGCTGACTATGTCATCCAATCCCTTGATAACACCTGGCATATTGTTGTTGTTGTTAAGTGCCATTGAGTTGAGTACAACTCATAGAAACCCTACAAACAACATATCTGAACCATATCCTTTACTGTACCATCCGTATCATCTCGAATATACTTGATTCATTGCTGCAGTCACTGTGTCAGTCCATCTCATTGAAGCTTTTTCTCTCTCCCTGACCCTCTACCTCTCCAAGCATGATAGCCTTTTCCAAGGAAAGCGCACTCTAGCTGCACTTCTACAAGACTTAGCTGTTCTTTTGGCCGTCTGTGGGACACCCAGCACTCTTCTCCAACACCACAGCTCAAAGCATCGATCTTTCTTCTGTCATCCTTATTCACTGTCCAGCTCTCAGTCATAGCAGGTGACTGAAAAGACCATGGCTTGGTCAAGCACACACACCTTAAGTCTTTAAGCTGGCATCACTGTTCTTCAAGTCCCTGCCAGCAGCCTTTCCCAATGCAATGCATCTTTTTATTTCTTGACTGCTGATATCGATGATGTTGACTACAGATCCAAGCAAAATGAAATCATTGACAACTTTAATCTTTCTCCATCCATCGCAATGTTGCCTAAGGGCCCAGTGGTAAAGATCTAGGTTTTCTCAATGTTAAGATGTAATCCATACTGCAGGTTGTAGTCTTTGATCTTCTCCTTTGCTTCCAGTCCTCATCACTTTCAGGAAGTATTCTGGAATTCCCATTCTCTTTAAAGTTAGCTATAGTTTGTAGAGATCCATATTTCTTCCCATTCCAAAAAAAAGGTGACCCAACAGAGTGTAGAAATTATCATACAATATCACTCATATTACACACTAGCAAAATCTGCTGAAGATTATCCATAAGTGACTGGAACAGTACATTGACAGAGAACTACCAGAAATACAAGATGGGTTTAGAAAAGCCTGTGGCACTAGAGATATTATCACCAATGTCAGATGGATCTTGGCAGAAAGCAGAGTTCCAGAGTGTGTGTGTGTGTGTGTGTGTGTGTGTGCATTTCATTGACAATGTAAAGGCATTTGACTCTGTGGATCACAACAAATTGTGGTCAACCTTGAGGAAAATGGAAATCCGAGAACCTTTGATTGTGCTTATGCAAAACCTATACTTAGACCAGGAAGCAATCCTCAGAACAGGAACAGGGTAACACTACATGATTCAAAATGAAGAAGGAAGTGTGTCAGGGATGTATCCTGTCTCCATACCTTTTCAATCTATATGTAGACAGATCATTCAGGATGCTGGGCTTTATGAGAAGGAATATGGCATCAGGATTGGAGACTCATCAACAATCCACATAATGCAGTTGATACAACCCTGCTTGCTGACACTGAGGTGGACCTGAAGCACTTGCTACAGAAGGTCAAGGACTGTAGTCTTCAATCAATATTGACTGAAGCTCAACATCAAGAAAACAAAGATTCTGATTATTGGCAGCACCATGATGGATGGAGAAGAGATTGAGGTCATTAACAGTTACAGCTTCCTCAGCTCCACAATTAACACTCTTGACACCAACATCAGGAAATAAAAAAACGGATTGCATTAGGTAAATCTGCTATCAAGGACCTTTCCACAATACTGAAGAGCAATGATGTCAGTCTATAGACTAAGATGAGCCTGATCCAGGCCACAGTCTTCACAATTACTTGCTATTTATCAGAGACCTGGACAATGACTAAGGAAGACAGAAGCATCTATGCTTTTGAACTGTAGTGCTGGAGAAGAGTCCTGAACATACCATGAACCACCAAGAAAACAAATAGGTCTGTCCTGGAGAAAGTGAAACCGAGTTTCTCTTTGGAGGCTAGAATTTTGAAGCTTCGTCTTACATATTTTGGGCATTTGGCCAGGAGAGACCAATCTTTGCAGAAGGACATCATGCTTGTAAGGGCAGAGAGACAGCGCAGGAGAGGAAGACCATGGATGAGATGGATTGATACCTTGACTAGGGCAATGGTGGTGGGTATGTTGAAGTCAGCGAGATTGGCTCAGGACAGGGCAGATTTTAGAGCTATTGTACAAAGGGTTGCTATGAGTCATAGGTGACTTGACAGCACATAACAACAACAACAACAATAGTTTGTTATGCTCCACACAGTCAAATTCTTTGGCATAGTCAATAAAAAACTATAGACATTCTTCTGGTATTCTCTGCTTTCAGCCAGGATTCACCCAGCATTAGCAATGATATCTCTGATGCCACAGCCTCTTCTAAACTCAACATGAACTTCTGAGAGTTCTCTGTCAATATACTGTTTCAGCCATTTTTGGATGATCTGCAATATTTTACCTGCATGTGATACTAATGAAAATGATAATTTCCACATTCTTTCAAATCATCATTTTTAGGAATGGGAATAAATAAGGATATCTTCCAGTAACTTGGCCACATAGCTGTCTTCCAAGTTTCCTGGCACAGACTGCTGGGTACGTTCAGAACTGTATCTGTTAGTTGAACACGTCAACTGATAATCCCTTAGTTCATGTGGCCTTATTTTTTTTCTAATAACTTCAATGCAGTTTGGACTTCTTCCCTCATTACCATTGGCTCTTGATCATATGCTCCTTCCTGAAATATTTTGGTACCAATCAATTCTTTTTGGTACAGTGATGCTTTGCACTCCTCTCTTCTTTTCATAATTCCTGGATCCTTCAAGATTTTGCCTATAGTATCTCTCAGTATTGAAACTCAAGGCTTGAATTTGTTTTTCAGATCTTTCAGCTTGAGAAATTCTGAGGGGATTATTCCCTTTTTATTCTTCAGCTCCACTCTTTGCAGATTCCATTATAATACTTAGATTTGTCTTCTCAAGCTGCACTTTGAAATCTTCTGTTCATCTCTTCTACTTCAACATCTCTTCCTTTTGTTTTGACTTCTTGACAATCTACTGCCATTTTCAGTCCTCTGATATCCATGTTGGCCTTTTATTTCTCCTCTCTCTATGTAATGACATTATGCTTTCATCAAGGATTATTTTTTTTTATCATCCCACATCTCCTCTGGTCTCTTGTCATTGATGTTCAGTGCTTAAATCAATTCTTCAGATGATTTTTTAACTCTGGTGGGATAGACTTAAGGTCATGGTTTGGTTCTTGTTGGACTTGTTTTCATTTTTTTAACTTCAAATTGATGATCTATTCCATAATCAGTGACTGTCTCATTTTGTCTGCTGATATTGAGCTTCTCCAACAATAATTTCTACAGATGCAGCCAATCTGATTCATATGAAGCCCATCAGATGAGAGGGACATGTGTAAAGTCACTTTTTTATTTTTTTAAAAAAGTATTTGCAATGGATGGTTCATTGAATGCACCAAATTCATTCATTCCAAGTCCAGCCTCATTTCTGTCATCAAATCCATAATTCCCTACTGTCGTTCCTTCTACTTTATTTCTAACTTTGAATTCCAGTCACCAATTACTGTTAATGTATGTTGACTACATGTTTCTGAAAAGTTGGTAGAATTCTTCAATCTCCTCATCTTTGCCCTTTGCAGTATTAACAGGTCTTCCTTGTATATGTATGAATAATATACTATCCCTCACAGCATTGTTCTTCAGGCTAGATTTTACAACGGCCTTTTGAACTATGACTGCAACACCATTCTTCTATTTTTCATTCCCAGCATAATAGATCATATCACACTGTCTAATTCAAACTGGCCAATGCCAGTGCATTTCAACTTGAAATGAACGTCTATCTTTGTATGTTCTACTTCATTTGCCATCATGTCATCTAAGATTCAAAGTGACACTAACTAAGAAGAACCGATCTCAACCTTGCCTTATACAGCCCATCCTCATCCTCACCAGCTTTGATATGTTAAGGCCTCTGTACAGTCACTGTGTCAGTCTATCTTGTTGAGGGTCTTCCTTTCTTTCTCTAACTCCATCTTTTCCAGCCTGATGTCTTTTCCAAGGATTGACCCATCCTGATACACCCAAAATATATGAGGCGAAGTTTTCCCATCCTTGCCTCTAAGGAGCGTCGTGTTTGAACTTGGCACATAGGGAGGAAGTAAATGTTTTCTGACAAATCACGAAGCCTACATTTTCAGCATCTCATAGTCATTCCTCGGCCCCCACCACACAGCCCAGCAGGAAGTCAGACTTCCCACAGGAAAGAACCCCTACCGTTTCATCGAATCCCATGTAGAGGAACTGCTGGTACCACTGTTGCACCTCTGGCCGAGACCGGTCCCACAGCTGCCGTTTCTGGCGTTTGAGGCTGCCCAGGAAATCTTTTGCTTTGTTCTCTTCAACAGCTACTGTAGTCTTCAATGGAGCAGATGCTGAAACAACAATTCCCCATCCCCAAAGCACAAAGAATGATTACTGTTTGCTTACTGGTATGAATCACTGTTACATATCCCACTCTTGCTATCCATTAAGTTCTGACTCAGTTTAGCCTTAGCATGGGGTGCCTAAAATACAGCCTCAAGGTATCAGTTTTCCCAGTTTCTTTTAGTAGGCTTTCCTTATTGTTGTTGTTGTTGTTGATGTTAGGTCCCACTGAGTCCACTACAACTCATAGCAACCCCATGAACACAGATCAGAACCTTGCCCTCTCCTGCACCTGTCCTTTTGATCTCTGCTATATCCAGCCTATTGTTGCAGTTAACTCTTTGAATCCATCTCATTGAAGGTCTTCCTCTCTTTCACTAGCTCCAGGCATGATGTCTTTTCCCAAGAGGTGGGCACTCCGAACAACATGCCCAAGGTATGTTCACCATCCTTGTCTCTAAAGAGCACCTTGCTTTCACTTCCTTCATCACTGACTTGTTTGTTCTTCGGGCAGTCCATGGGATATGCGGGACTCTTTTCCAACACCACAATTCAAAGACATCCATTCTTCTTTGGCCTTCTTTATTCACTGTCCAACTTCCAGATGCATGAAAATATCATAGCTTAGATCATGCACATCTTAGTCTTTAAACAGATACCTTTGCTCTTTTGCACTTTAAAAAGGTCCTTGGCAGCAGATTTGCCCAACACACAGGCTAAGATTAAACTTCTAGGCCCCAGAGAAAAGCAGCTCATTTACCATGCTCTGACCCCAGCCCTCACTCAAGAAACTGTGGCTTATCTGTTACCATCGAGTTGATCCTAACCTATAGCAATCCCATTTGTTGCAAAACAAAACCAGTTCTACAGGATTTCCACCTTTCAGAAGGAGACTTCTAGGTCTTCCATGGTATCTCTGAGCAGGTGCAAACTTCTCACTAGTTGAATGCCTAACCACTCATACCATCATGAATTCCTGAGTAATGACTTGTTATATGCCATTGAGTCATTTGCAACTCATAGCAACCCTATGTACAACAGTCCTATGCCTTGCTCTATCCTGAGCCAACTTATCATCTCTGACACACCTACCCACATTACCCCAGTCACTGCTTCAGTCCATCTCATCAAGGGTCTACCTCTGTTGCACCGTCCTTCCACCCATAATGTCCCTCTCCAAAGACTGGTCTCTCCTTATAACATGCCCAAAATATGTCAGACAAAGCTTCAGAACCCTTGCCTTCAAGGAGCAACCTGGTTTCACCCTCTCCAGGACAAACCAGTTGGTTCTCCTAGCAGTCCATTCAATACTTTTCTCCAGCACCACAGCTCAAAGGCGCCAATTTTCCTTCTATCATCCCTAGTCATTTTCCAGATTTCTGATGTGTAGCAAGTAATTGCAAAGACCATGGCCTGAATTGGGGGCACTTTGGTCTCCAGAATGGCATCGCTGCTCTTCAGTACTCTGGAGAATTAAAATAGTACAATGAGCATATGTGAAGTTATGTCCACCATATATTACAAATGAATGTGTCTGCTTGGAAGACAAAGTAAAACACTAACACACTGGAATGATAGGCCCTGAAATGGTGGATACTAGGTCAGTCTGGTGACAGGGTCACATTCTCACATCAGTTTGCTAAAACACACAGTACCACCTAACATCACCGCCTATGGGCCTCACAGTCTGATCACTGATGATTTCAGTCAATGATGGCATCTTGAACGGTTCTGACTCTGCTCCTTCAACAACTTCCCATCGCGGCTTCACTTGTTTAGAATGTGCCTCTTCTGCAAGATGCCCTTTGTAGAAGCAGTTACCCCCACTTCTCCTCATCTGTGCCACCACGCTGCCCCTTCTGCCTTTGCCCTCCCACTCCCTGTCTCAGTGCTAAGAAGAACAAGTTAATGTGAGTCAAATGTCTGGTGTATGTGCAGATGACATCAAGAAATATTAATAGAATTTGATTTTGCTACTTTGGGTCCATCTGAGTATTTTCTTAAGGGCAAGTCACAATGTTTCGTACACAATGGGGGAGCTCTGCTGGCATAATCAGTAGGGGGTTCGCTGCTGACCCAAAGGCAGTGCATCTCTTGTAGTTCAAATCCACCAGTGGCTCCAAAGGGGAAAGATGTGCAATCTCCTTCCATGCCATTTCCAGCCTCAGAGACCTAATGAGAGGTCAGCTACGTGCCAGGTCCAATTCAGTGGCAATGAGGAGAAGGTCCACATGGATAGTAGGTACTCAATGTGTATTGCTGGCTTGGATAAAATCCAGATTATCTCAACTGTATGTTCTCTGCCTAAATTTAGTAGGCTTCAGTAGCCTGGACCTCTGAGATTGTCTAGTCACGTGTGGGCATCTTAGTGAGGTGGGCCTTCCCTACAGTCTCAGATGTGCACGTACCAGGGGCCCATGAATGCTGGGCATGCTGGGAACAATGTGAGAAGACTGATAATAGGAGTGGGAGCTCCCCTAGAAACTCCACTGCTGGGAGACAAATATGGGGTTGACTGGAAGGTGCAGAGAAGCACGTGCTCTAGGGCCCTTTTACAGCTTTCAGCCTATTGCATTAGAGTAAGCTCTCATTCATGGCACTCCTATATTAGAGTAGATTTGTGCTTCATGGGGCTTTCTTACCCCCTTTTTTTCTAATCTTAACCGAAGGTTGAAAATTCACAAACCATACTGCCTTTTCATATAATCAATCATTCATAGACAGTTTGTTTTGTAACATCAATTACCATTTATTTACTTGGATCCACAATCAGCACCAATGCTAGGAGCAGTCAGTACATCAAAAGACATGTTGCATTGGGAAAATCTCCTATTAAGAACCTCTTTGAAGTGCTAAAGAGCAAGGACATCAGTTTAAAGACTATGGTACACCTGATCCAAGCATTGGTATTTTATTGTTTCTTATGCATCTGAGTATCGGACATGTATAAAGAAGAAAGAAGAAGAATCAATGCCTTTGAATTGTGGTGCTGGCAAAAAATGTTGAATTTACTCGATGTTGCCAAAAAAAACAAATCTGTCTTGAAGAAGTGCAATCAGGGCTCTCTCTGTGGGCAAATATTTTCAGGAGGGGCTAGTCCTGGGAAAGATGTCATGCTGGGAAGGGTAGAAGGTTGATGAAGGGGAGTAGGAGACACCAGGAAAGGATCTGAGATCATCACTGTAACAGTGCTGGAGAATGGGGCAGGCTAGAGAAAGGTTCCATCTGTTATCCATAGTACTGCTGTTAGTTGTAATCGACAGCATCTAATAGCAACTATGTGATTAAATAATTATAATGTCTAGTCAACCTCCATGGAGTTTTCAGTAAATGATTTTTCCATTTTTTCAGAAGTAGACTGGTCACCAGACTTTTCTTCCAAGGAGTCTCCAAGTGGCCTTGAACTTTCAAATTTTAGTTGAACTTGAGTATGTTAACAGCTTGCACTATTCACTGGCCTAGCCTACTATAATTCCTCATTGAGGAGAGAAAAGAATAAATTATTCAAATGTTCATGTCATAAAAACAGTAAAATAGTTACATGACATCTTAATTTTATGGATGAAGTTGAAAGTTCAGAGAGGGAAAATAACTGTCCAAATGCAGCACATCAGATTTAATTGATAACCCAGGCCATGGTCTTCTCAGCTACCTGTTATGCTAAAAAGGGTTGGACAATGACTGAGAATGACTGACGAAGAACAGATGCTTTTGAGTTGTGGTGCTGCAGAAGGGTCTTGAACATACCACTGACCACCAAGAAAACAAACTGGTCTGTCTTGGAGAGGGTTTTTCCTTGGAGGCTAGGACTTTGAAGCTCCGCCTCATTTATTTTGGGCACATGGCCAGGAGAGATGAGCCCTTGGAGAAGGACATTATGTCTGGAGGAGTGGATCGACAGTGCAGGAGAGGGAGACCCAGGGTAAGATGGATTGATATAGTAACTAGGGCGATGGGGGTTGGTGTGTCGGGGTTAGTGAAACTGGCTCAGGACAGGGAAGGATTCCAAGCTGCTATACATAAGGTCACTATTCATCGCAGGCAACTCAACCAATAATATTCTATGACAGGTTTGGAAGCAGGAGTGGCATCCACTTCCTAAACAACTGGCCTCCAGAAACTCTATGAACTGATAAATGTCTATAGTTGTAGAGGGGCTTTAGGCCTTTTGTTCATTGGTTCGCTATGAGTTGTGCTTGACTCGAAGGCAATCAACAGCAACAGTGTGCCTGATTAGAACTGTCCTGGAGTTTATACTGTGTGGCTCTTAGAGTCTCCTGGGCCTCCAGTGTCCTAGTGGTAAGAGACGTGCACTGCCCACCAAAGAGCACATAACAACAGACCCTCCTGGTGCTGTCTTTTGCTTCCTACCACATTTATCTTAAAAGGATTTTGTACTTCAGTCATTAGTAGAAAAAAGATTTTTCCACCTCACTCCCTTATCCCTGTGATTACTTGAATATAGAGTTCCACAATGGCACCATTCCCTGATTACAGCGTGAGGTTTCATGTACTACAGAAGATAGCCTCTAAATTTAGATATGTGCATGTCTGGTGGTTCTAAAATAAACAGCACTCAATTAACACCACGACATTGTTTCTTTTCTTTTTGAGTCCACACAAAGCATCCAGAAAAACAATCTTCAAACATTTACCAGCAACAATATTTATCTAATGAAACACTTCACCACTTACAGAATAAGCCCTTCAGACCTGCTAACCTTTTAAGGAGTAAACACATCTGAGCTGCCAAGTACAGACTCTAGCGAGCACATTCAACACGGCCATTTCATTTTAATCTGGTTAGGAATGCAACCTTTATCTGCTGGGGTTCTGTTTACCTTCTCGTTTTTGAAGCATCATCTTGAGTTTATTTCCACTTATACCACCTAAACGAATGAAAATAAAAATCAGTTTCAGAGTAGCAATGAAGCTTTTCATTTCTCAAATACATGAAACAGAGTTGGAAGAAAGAACTGCATGTCCTCGCTCTTAAATTGACAATCTGGTGATAGAGCAGAGGGCAACTCATGTTAAAAGGCTGGGTTTCTTTAGCACTCCCCATCGCTTGTAATTGCATCAGAGATGAGGTCACTGTTGGCATGGGAATCCTTTCCCATCATTCGTTCCTCATCCTCATGTTCATACTCCATGATCTTGCCCCTTCCCTTCTAGCCAAGGTAGCAGTGTATCACTGAATCATTAATAGAGACCTCCTAATAGTATGTAATGTTTGTTGTATTACCTATCATATAAACAAAGCAAATCTCTGGGCTGCCTGTGGCTAATTCTGGTTACCATGACCCTGACTGACCAAAGGCAATACTGAGTCGTTCCCAATGAAAAGTGACATCATTCATTTAGCCTTTTTGTAATATGAAGATGATCACCCATGTATTCTGTTTACCTCTCAGCCAACTTTCCTTTTTTTCATGGTTTAATGGGCTTAATGTTGTTGGCTCCTGTAAAGTTGACCTTGGTCTCCTGGTGATCACATGCAATTACGACCAATGAGATTATTACTGGCTCCTTTTCCAGAAGTAGATTGACAAGTCTTTCTTCCTAGCCTACCTTAACATAGAAGTTCCACTGAAATCTGTTCAACATCATAGCAACATGCAAACCCCCTACTGATAGGCAAATAGAAGTGAACTAGCCAGAAAAAAAAACCCAGTCTCTCTCAGAGAAGGCAAAATTTTACCACTCAAACATGACTGGCCCCTGTTGTTGTTGTTATGTGCTGTTGAGTTGCTTGTGACTCATAGCGACCCTATGCACAACAGCCCTAAACTCTGCTCTGTCCTGTGCCAATTGCACTGTCTCTGACACTCCCATCCCGATTATCCCAGTCGCTGAATCAATCCACCTCATAGAGGGCCTTCCCCTCCTGCGCTGTCCCTCCACCCTCCCAAGCATGATGTCCTTCTCCAAGGACCTGTCTCTCCTTACAACATGTCCAAAGTATGTCAGTCGGAGCCTTGGAATCCTTGCCTCCAAGGAGCCACCCGGTTTAACCCTTTCCAGGACGAATCTGTTTGTTTTCCTAGCAGTTCATGGTACTCTTAATACTCTTCTCCAGCACCACAGCTCAAAGGCATCAATTCTCCTTCTATCCTCCTTGGTCATTGTTCAACTCTCTGATGCATAACAAGTGATGGTGTAGACCATGCCCTGTATCAGATGTATCTTGGTCTCCAGAGAGACACCATTGCTCTTCAGTACTTTGGAGAGGTCCCTAACAGCAGACTTTCCCATGGCAATGGGAAATTTCCTGGATACTGGTGCTAAGAGTGTTGACTGTGGAGCCAAGCAAACTAAAGTTGTGAACAATCTCAATCTCTTCACCATCCATCCTGATGCTGCCAATTGGCCCAGTGGTTAGAGTCTTTGTCTTCTTGACATTGAGCCTCAGTCCATATTGTAGGCTGCAGTCCTTGACCCTCTGCAGCAGGTGTTTCAGGTCCTCCTCAGTTTCCGCAAGCAGGGTTGTGTCATCTGCATAACGCAGATTGTTGATAAATCATCCACCAATCTTGACCCCACATTTCTCCTCATAGAGCCCAGCCTCCCGGATAATCTGTTCTGCATACAGGTTGAAAAGGTATGGAGATAGGATGCATCCCTGGTGTACGCCCTTCCCAATTTTGAACCATGCAGTGTTTCCTTGCTCTGTTCTGACGACTCCCTCCTGGTCCAAGTATAGGTTTCACATTAGAACGATCAAGTGTTCTGGGATTCCCATTCTTCTCAGAGTCAGCCACAGTTTGTTATGATCCACACAGTCAAACGCCTTTGCATAGTCAATGAAACACAGATAGACATTCCCTGGTATTCTCTTCTTTCAGCTAAGATCCATCTAACATCAGCTACAATATCCTTAGTACCAGAACCCCTTCTAAACCCAGCCTGGACTTCTGGCAGTTCTCTGCTGATGTGCTGTTCCAGTCATAGGTCCAGTTGGAAACAGGGTCGTTAGGATGTAATTAGTTCAGGATTTTGATGTTATATTATACTAGAATTAGGGTGGGTGTTAAATTCAGTGATTGCTGTCTTTACAGGAAGAAAAGAGGATACAGACAAGGCCAAAGGAAGACAGAGCTAGAAAGAGACTGGTGTTAGGCTTTCACAAACTAGAGAAACCCTGGGGCTACCAGGAGGTGGGAAGAGCTGAGGAAGGAATGACTCTTCCCAAGAGCCTTCAAAGGGAGCATGACCTTGTCAATACCTTGATTTTGAAGTAAAACTCTAGAACGCTAAAAGAATAATTTTCTATTACTTTAAGCTATCTGGCTTGGTTGGTTTAACCCAATCAAATTTTGTCAGGGTCCATACTGGATTCCGCAGTGACAGGGTAAAGACCACTTTGCTGTTGTTGGTGGTGTGTATAGTCAAGTGAGAACCGATCCATAGCTGACTTCCTGCAGGGTGGTAGAGCCAGTAAATCACATGGGAGGAGACTGTCCCTTTTCTTCCCACGTAGGCACTGGTGGATTTGAACTGTCTGCCTATGAGTTGGCAGTGCAACTCATTCCACTAGGCCACCACAGCTCCCCTAAAACAGCATTACTGGTCCTTATTTACCAATCAAGGAGCTCTGATGGCCTATTCCATACATAAGGAGTTGCACTGATAACCCAAGCGGTGGGGGGGGGGGTCCTTCTCTTGTGGCCCAAATCCACCCGCGACTCCGAGGCAGAAATGAGCAATGTCCTCCATGCAATTTACAGCCTCTTCCAAAATCCTGCTGGAGGGTCAGCTATGAGCGGATTTGTATTCAAAAGCAATGAGTTTAAGTTATTTACTAATCTGTAGGAGTAAGGTCACATTTGTTTAGCTATTTCAAAGCTTCTGCTTTTCGATATGGCTGACATTTGACTCTTCCAAATCTAAAGCACCATAAGGATAAATATTGTATAAGACCATTATTGTAGAATGAGTATAAGGATCCAGGAGGGGTGGGAGAGGCTTGAAGCAAAGGGATGTGGATGTGCAGAGGGAAGAAGGGATTAATCATTGGGTTGTACAATTTGATGGGGGGAGGGTGAGGGAAATTGAAAGAATTTGTTCAAATTCATATTTAAATTTTGTGAGTAAACTAGTAGAAAAAGAAATTTAAAACAAACAAACAAAAACTGTTTTTCAAATGTGCAGTCCGTGGCAGACAGGGGAGAGGACCCCAGTAAGCAAAGTAAATTCAGGCTGTTTGTGCTTCTTTACTCATCTCTAGTGAACTGTTTAACCACATCTAGATTAGTAAGTAAGCCCGTGTTCACTATGTTTGCTGGGTAATTTGATCCTGGTTATGTCCACTGTAGGAAACTAATAATACACATGGGTAATCACACACACACGTGCTTCACTATTCTGGACTCTGAAAAATTTCTTTCATGTTCACATGGAGTGCTCTGCTGACAAAGTCCACAGGAAGTTGTGTTGTTAACCCAAAATCGATACGTCAGTCAACTCCTCCCCTGCAACTTACAGCAGCGGAAACCAGAGGAGCAGTTATGAGTCAGTTCCAACTTAATGGCTATGAGGGGGGTTTAGTATCGACTGTAAATAGAGTGGGTTTTCCTCCCAAAAGAGCAAAATGGAAGAAAAGAACCAATGTTTATTTAACTTACATAATGTTTATGTTGGGCATTATTCTAAGATTTTTTTCTGATTTATTTAACCTTCACAATGTCATTATAGCTACTCCTATTTTACAGCTGAGAAAACTAAAGCACAGGAATTAAGGAAAATTTTTTAAGATCAACTAGCCAGCTAATGGTGGAGCTGGGGTTTGAACCCCAGCTGACAGAAGATGATAGAAGAAGAACTGATGCCTTAGAGCTGTGGTACTAGAGAAGAGAACATGCCATGGACTGCCTGGAGAACAAACAGGTTTATCCTGGAGAGGGAAAAACTAGGCTGCTCCTTGGAGGCAATGATTCTGAAGCTCGGTCTCATGCATAACAACAACAGCAGCCCGGTGGAAAGCCCCTGCTTCTTTTTTCTTTTCCCCAATTTCTTTTTTTTTTTTAATTATTTTCAATGAAAAGTTACAGAGATTTTGAATTTCCATTCATTCATTGTTGCACTTTTCTCTTCGCCCACCCCACCCCCACCCCCAGTGGAGAGCCCCTGTTTCTCACCACTCAGCTCACTATCCTCCAGGCAGAAACACTACTGTGACACAGAATCAAACAACTCCCTATCCCACTTGTAGCAAGACCCACCTCATTCTGACTCTATAAGAATTACCTCTGCCTTATCTGATACAAAATCAGAATTTAGGTCTCCCTCTGAGCTGGTCTACATGGGAGAAAGTTAAATGAATTCACATCAAATGTCTTTGTGTTTGTTGGTTTTTCTTCTTTTCTTATTCTTGGGGTTGGGTGAGGAAACAAAAATTTGTAAATATAGTTCTTCCAAAAATGTTTTCAACAATTAATTTTCATCATCAATACTAAATTTCACTTTGATTAATAAGTGGGATGAAATACCGAGAACATTTCATTCACCTTTGTTCGTTGTTACATGCAGTTAAGCCAATTTTGGCTCAGGGTCACTCCACGTGTTAGAGAGCTGATCTGCCCAGTGAGGTTTCCTTGGTTGTAATCTTTACAGGAAGTATTAAAAGAAGATGGAAAGAATATACTGAGTCACTGGCTCAAAAGGAATTTGCAGACACAGAAGAATTTAATGAAACAACATATGAGCAAGAGCCTATGGTGATGAAGGAAGAAGTTCAAGCTGCTTTGAAGGAAATGGCAAAAAATAAGGCCCCAGGAAT